CACACACACACACACACACACACACACACACACACACACACACACACGTACACACTCATGCACATGTGCAAAACAAGCCCAAAGTGGGAGAATGGGGGGGTGTGGCAGAGAGAAGGAAGAGATGGAGAAAGAGGATGTGGGCAGAAACAGCCCAAATGAAACATATGGCAAGTAATATTGGGGTACATGGCCGGGAAATAGCAGGTTAGCATCAGGGCTGATAATGCCCAACTTCAGTGCTTTAAAGCTTATTATAAAGGTCTCTGTGTCTTTTATTCGGGAACTGAATGGCCTAAAGTGGGGTAGAAACCCCTAATAGATACTTAGTAGCAAGTGGGGTGTAACCATGCCTCCCCCAAATAATCCTACTACAGATATAAAATAACAACACCACCTAGAGCTGATCCGAGCTCACTGAAACTGTAGAAGACCCTGGGCAGGGCCTTCCTCCCCAGCACAGAGATGAGAAAGACTCACCCTGTTCCTCAGTGCTTTGCTCTTGTTTTCTAATGGTGGCCACGGTATTTTTTATTTTACAGCCCTAACTGAGGTCAATTAGGACACGCCATAAACCATTCATATTCGAACTGTGCAAGTTGTTTTGGTGTGTGTATACTCCATGAAGCCATGATCACAGGCAAGACAGTAGCTGTAACACCAACCCTATCATTCCTCCCTCTCCCAGTTTCTCCACGGTCTGCCGTCCTAATCAGTTTTCTAGGTATTTTTATTCTAGACAAAAGCATACAGCATGTTTTCTTTGTGTGTGGCTTCTTCATGCCACATAATTATTCTGAGATTCTGCCATAGTGTGGCTGGTGTCAGGTGTTTATTCCTTCATATTATTGATGTATGCACCAAAATTGGTTTATTAATTCACGTAGTGGGGGAAGTTAGAGACTGTCTCAGTCTTCAGCTAGTCCCAAAACGAGTAGGAGGAGCTACTCTCTTTCTGTCTCTCTATCTCTCTGTGTCTCTGTCTCTCTCTGGGGTGATGGGTGGCTTGGGGTTTGTTTCTGTTTCTGTTTTTTTCTTTATTTGTTTTATGTGTATGGGTATCTTGCTTCCATGCGTGTCACATGTATGTATATATACCACATGTGTAGCTGGTGCCATAGATCCCCCGGAACTGGAGTTACAGATAGTTGTAGCTGCCGTGTGGGTGCCAGGCCTTGAAACAAGGTCCTAGAGAAGTGCCCAATGCTCCTAACCATTGAGCCATCTCTCCACCCTTTCTTCCTTCCTTCCTTCCTTTCTTTCTTTCTTCCTTCCTTTCTTTTTTTTCTTTCTTGCTTTTTTTCTTACGTTCTTTCTTCTAAAGATAGAGTCTCACTATGCAGTCTAGAACTAGGTCTAGAACTAGGCTGGCCTGGAAATCATGGAAACCTGCCTCTGCCTCTCTCAGTCTCTCTGCCTCTCTGCCTCTGCCTCTCTGCCTCTCTGCCTCTCTGCCTCTCTGCCTCTCTGCCTGCCTCTCTGTCCCTGCCCTTGCCCCTGCCTCTGCCCCTGCCCCTGCCCCTGCCCCTGCCCCTGCCCCTGCCTCTGCCTCTGCCTGAGCGCAGGCCTGCACCAACAGAGGAAAACTTTTGGGGGCCATTTCTCTGCTTCCACCATGTGGCCTCAGGTGATGAAGCTCAGGTTGTTGGGCTTAGCAACAGCACCGGCCTTAAACCACTGAACCACTGCCAGCCTTGTTTTTATTTTTATTTTTGATGGTTTTCACGCTGAGGCCTAGCTGATAAGGATCTTATTTTGAGCAACATTGTGGTATCAAGACAGAGCACAACCATCTTCTGGAAAATAACTTTCAAAGCCACATAATCATGAAAGGAAAAAAAAAAAAATCCACACAAATATAAACCTCAAAAAAGGAAGCCGGTCATTACCCAACAACAACCAGCCAGCTTCGGAAAATTTATCAAAACTCATTCACCAAGGGGCTGGAGAGATGGCTCCACCGTTAAGAGCAGTTGGTCTTCTCTTCCAGAAGACCTGATTCAGTTCCCAGCTTCTGTATGGCAGCTCACAACTGTGTGTAACTCCAGTTCCAGGGGTTCCAGAGGCCTCTTCAGAATCCAGGGGATCCTAGCTGACCTTCACAGACCCTGCGTGGACGAAGCACACAGGCATACATGCAGGCAAGGTACCTATACACATGAACATCCTTAAAATTAAAAAAAAAAAAAAAAAAAAAAAAAAACCACTCACTAAATAACAATGCCCGGAGATGACGGCCAAGTGACTGAGGGAGCAGTAAGTCCCTGAACCTGAGGGGTGCAGAGGTCAGTGGGGATAAGAGGGATTAGAAGAGAGGATCCCAGGAGGCAGAAAGCTCATAGCAGGGGCTCCTGGTCTGCCTGAGAGGGGCACACCAAGCGAAGTATTGCAGCACATAGCAATAGCTGGGGTGCTCTGACAGGCGCTGGGCAAGCAACGGTTTTCATCTTTTCTGCCTCATAGGTCTCCACCCTGCTGTCCTCTTTTCTGTGTGTGATCTCCGTTTCCAGACAAGCTCACTGGACTGGGCAGCCATTTAAGAACTCATCTGGGCCATGGAATTCCAAGGTGAGAATGTACTCAGGGTCACTTCCACACGCAGGGAGGAGATCACGGGCCCACCGAGTTGGTAGGAATCAGTGCGTTAGCCCTGCGTGAAGCAGTCACCTGTGACCTCGCATCTGACTCTGAGAATGTTCCCTACTCTCCTCAACTGCTCCACCCTGAGCCTGTTTCCTCGTGCTCTTTGCCCCAGGTAGTGACTAGCCCATCCCCCTTCATTCCCTGAACCCTCAGCTCTAGCCTCTCCCCGAGAGCATAGGACAGGAGTTGGCCTAGCCCCACCCTCTCCTGTATAAATTACTCCCCAGAGGGGAGAGGGCTGAGAGAGAGCCTCAGGCTTCCTGACTCTACACTGCACTCTCAGGTAAGGGCCTGGCCCTGCTTGTTGAGGGTGGACTGGGTGCCTGTGCGGCCCTAGACTCTCCGAATGTGTGTTTGTGCACTAAACTGGCTCCCGTGTGTCTGGGGATGTTGCATGTCCACTGTGTCGATCTGTTTCTAAAGGATTGTGTGTGCCTGTGCCAGGTGGCTGCGTGTTTGTACGCTGTCTGTCCTCCCCAGCTTGCAGAGCCCCTATACCTCCCCTCTGTAAGAGTTAGAACTGACCTGCCAGGTAGAGAGGTTACCTGAGAGTTATGGGCTTGCAAAGTCCCGTCTAGAACTAACAGCTCCTGTTGCTTAGATAGCCAGCCCTTTTAACGCAGGTCTTGATTGGCCCCAAGGTTTCCTATCCCGTCCCTTCACACCCCCCAAGTCCAGCTTCGTGAGACTCTTCCAAGCTCATCATTAGTCAAGGGCAAAGAGTAAGGATCGGTCAAGACTGGAAGATGGTTCCGCAGTTAAGGCCACTGGCTGCTCTTCCCGAGAACCTGGGTTCAGTTCCCAGCACCCACAAGGCCTCTCCCAGCCACATGTAACTCCAGTTCCTGGGCATATGGCATCCTCCTCTGGCCTCTGTGGGCACTGCAAGAACATGGTGTCCAAACATAAGGCAAAACACCTATACATATAAGTTAAAAAAGAGAGAGAGAGAGAGAGAGAGAGCCAGAAAGACTTTGAACATAATTTGGGTCTGATTTCAGCTGAACATGCAGAAGCCAAGAAAAAATGAATGGTTTGGTAGGGCTGGGGTCAGGCTCAGTGGTAGAGAGCCTGATTTCCAAGTACAAGGCTCTAGACTTGATCTGCAGCTCTGGACCTTCTGTTTTAGAAGGGGTGTGTGTGTGTGTGTGTGTGTGTGTGTGTGTGTGTGTGTACATCTATGCTCATGTACTGTGTTATAGAGTTATAGATACTGGTCCATCCTGGGGTTGCCAATTGTGATTTGTGTGCCAGGCTGCAAAAGATGAGGTTAGACCCCAAGAGCCCCCATGACGACAGCTTCTCAGTGAATGACAGACTGACTCAGACCTCAAACCTCCCACCCTCTTTCAATCCTTGTGGAAGAAGACAATAATAAGCAGCGAGGGCTCTGGAAGGCTATCCATTCATCTGTGCAGCAAGAGCAAAGTTCTTAAGAATTCCTGGGTCCCCAGGAACCAACGCTCATAATCTGTGCTGCCCTTCCCTACTGGGTACACCAAGCCCTCCAAACATCCCTATTCTGCCTTTATACCAGGTATTTATACAGAGACCAAAGGGGAAGGGCTCCTGGCAGGCTCCCCTTTCGTGTTTTGAAGGAACTGTGTGTGTAGGAAGGAAAGAGATGAGGCTGTGTGGGCTTAGTCCACTGCCAACCAAAACTTCATCTGTTAACCGCAGGTATTCCGTGTGCTGCTTACTGCTTACTGCTTACAGAAAGATGGATCCGGGTAAGCTGCATGAAGTCTAGGAGGTAGAAGAGGGAAGAGAGGAGAGAGGAGAGGAGAGAGGGCAGAGGCACGCAATCAGCCATATCTACTGAATGCCAAGTGTGCTTGCATGTGTGTGTGTGTGTGTGTGTGTGCAGAGTTTCAAATGCAAACGAACTTTATAGTTTAAGAAACGAGTCTACACATCCTTCAGCTCACCAGTTCCTTAACCTCGGGAGACAAACAGGCAGGTCCCTCTCCCACGGTGCACAGGAGGCCCAGGGAAGTTAGGCGTTGTGCTCTGGGTGAGACCATGAAAGCACCATAGGGTCTGGAGCCCAGGGCCTAGCTCCTGGCAGGGCCTAGCCTTGCCATTGGCTCCCCTCAAAAAAGATACAAAGAAACTAGAACTCCTGGTAACCTTTGGGGACACCCAGTGGCACACAGGTGGCTTCTGCAGTGAGCAGTTCTGTCCCAGTGATGTGGCATCCCTCCTGGACAGTAGGGCAGAGTGAGGCTAGAGAATTTGCAAGCAGCAGACAAGACAGCATGAGCAAAGGCCCGGAGCGGGGACTAGGAGGTTGTAACCAAGACATAAGGAGGAGCCAACGCACGGCTCCAAGGGGCTGTAAGTGGACCTAACATGGATGAATGGGGGAAGGCTGCCGGGGCCCAGGGGGAGATGGAGGGGGAAGAACTGGGGTTCACCACAATGGAGTGCCTCTCCACTTCAGTGCCCTGAAATCTGACCAAGGCTAAGAGGGCAGACCACTGGCAGTGTGGACAAAACCCTAACCTCCTCCTACCTGGCCCGGCGCCACCCAGGGGGACTCAGCCAGTTCCTGAGCCCACAGGGATGCACAAGTGAGCTTTGTATTGACTTTCAATATGAATCTGCTGCCAGTGGATGAATGAAGGGATGATTGCCAGGCAAGCGGCCAGGGCTGAGGAGCCTTGATGGGGGTGGGGTGTGAACCCAAAACTAGCAGCATCGGGGAGAAGGCAGGGGCAAGTTGTCTCCTTCAGAACCAAACGACTGAAGCTGCTGTTTCTTTTTCCCCTTTCTTCCCTCTCACAGGTTGCAAGGTAGGAACATTCTTTAGCCCTCTGCCCACCGCCCCTTCCCCCAGTCCTGCCCTGGTCCTTTCTTCCGGGCCTCTCACCTCATTCTTGGACCAGTACTCCACCAAAGGAAGTCAGGAAGACTCGGGGAGCAGCCTGGGAAGGGCGGGCGGGGTGCTGCGGCATCCGCCCACCCCCCTGCCAACTGCAACCTTCTTCTTGGCATTCCCTCCTCTGTTTTCCCATCTGTCTCTCTCCTTTCCTCACTTCCCTCCCCTGGCCCAGCAGCTCATCCTTTCTCCTGCTGCTTCCCAGACTGTTCTGAGCTCCCCTGGCTGGGTGGCTGGCTACCTCTCAAACCCCAGCCACCCTGCAGGGCTCCTAGGACAGGCTTCTGTTAGGAAGGCAAGGAAGGGAAGGCTGTCTGCTTGCCACTTCTCCCCTCCCAACCAGCAGCAGACAAGCACCCTGGACTGGACCATTGCCCCACTGCCATAGAAGAGAGGAGAAGGGTGGGGAGCAGCTGTTTCCTAGTGGCTGAGCCTAGATGAGGCACGAACTGCTGTTAAGAGGAAAGCCCCAAGTTCTGGAGAATGGCTTCCCGGTACTCTGCCCTAGTCAAACTCCTGCGAGGCCAAGGCAAAGTAGGGAGCCATCTACTCCCAGAGCAGGGGGTGCATAACCCCATCTCTGCCCCACTGGGATCCAGACCCCAGCGCTAAACATTCCTGGTCTCCAGCCAGAAAAGAAGGTTAAACAACACTTTCCCAAGCCTCTTGGATCCGAGAAGGGAAGTTTATCTTTCTCTTCTTCCTGATTGGGTGTGGCAGTTGCTCAGAGGCATTGTAGGCTCATATCTGGACACCTGTGCAAGTGTATACACATAAATGCATTCTTACTTCCTCATGGGCACATACCCAGACACAGCTATCTAATTACGGTTTGGTTTGGTTTCTGCATTGCTGGCTTTGTAGTTTCTGGATAAAATCTCTATCACTGAACTCCATACCCAGACACAGCTTTAAATCTTTATTTATTTGTTTGTTTTATTTTTTGAGACAGGATCTCACCACATAGCCTTGGCTGGCCTGGAGCTCCCTATGTATATCGGACTGGCCTTGAACTCACAGAGAGATCCACCTGTCTCTGCCTCCTGAGTGCTAGGATTAAAAGCATGCACCACCATACCTGGCCCCAAAAAAAAAAAAAAAAATTAAAGACGGGTCCTCATTCTATAGCCCTGGCCTGAAACTCACTGTATAGATCAGGCTAGTCTCAGACCTCCAGAGACCCACTTGCCTCTTCCCCCTCAAAAGGTTAAAGTCCTATGCCACCACTCTCTACAACCACAGCTATCGTATATTAATTTAACACACTTCTGTGCCGGGCATGGGAGCACACGCCTGTAATCCCAGCACTCAGGACGGCAGAGGCAGGTGGATCTCTGTGAGTTCAAAGTCAGCCTGGTCTACAAAGCGAGTCCAGGGTACACAGAGAAACCCTGTCCAAAAAAACAAAACAACAACAAAATACACACACGCGCACGCAAACACTTCCTACCTATACACAAACACATCCTGCTTTTCACCCCCTACCTTGACCTGCTCTTCTCTCCAGAGCCCAGATTTCCCCCTGCCTGGCTTTCAAGGAATTCTTATCCAGCCTTCTCAAGCTTCACCTTTGCTCCTAATATAGTGAGCTGTCATTTCTAGCAAGACAACACTTGTAGTCATTCTGCTAGGGCCCCTGGGATGGGAAAGGGGCCTGTGAGATGATTTGGTTTTTTTTTTTTTGTTTTGTTTTTTGTTTTTTTTTTTTTTGAGATCCAGAAAAAGAGGTCACAGATCTGCAAAAGAAATAAACCTACAACATCCAGATTCTTTCCCTTTTCCTTGCCCAGTCCTTAAAGAAGAAGGGCTAGGAGCAGTCCCTTGCTTGTGACCTCTGCCACCCAACTTCTTACCACGATCCCCTGCAAACGCTCAGGCATACTGAATCCCATGGGGAGGAGAGGTAAAGAGGAGTTAACTACAACCCTTGGCATTGGCTTTGAACTCTGACATTTCTCTTTTGGCTTTCCTTCCACAGGGCCATTGCCAGGGTCGTCCTCACTGTGGTCCAGCCCCTGGCCATAGTCCAGGGCACTGTCCTGGGGGACATCACCCTCCAGGTGGCCCACGCCCTGGTCATGGCCCAGGGCACTGTCCTGGGGGAAACCACCCTCCAAGGGGCCCAGGGCACTGTCCTGGGGCAAGCCACCCTCCAGGGCCTGGTGGCCCACCCCCTGGCCATGGCCCAGGGCACTGTGGGAATCATCATGGTCCACATCACTGAGAAATCAGAAGAAAAGAAGATACAGATGAAAAGTTTGCATAGAATCCCCTGCTGGCTTGGCACGGGGTCTAAACCAGACTTGCCCCTTGCAAATAAATAGCCTCCTGGAGGCCATATTTGTTCTCCTCAGAGACTGTCTTTCTTCACATCCACGTGGTGGTCTGAGTTTCCTTACTGTCCAAAGCAGGCATCCATCTTTGCATTCTCAGAAGCTTGACTAGGCGGGACCCACAGCATAGGGCTGCTTAGGATCACTCATCTGATGGGACTTCGACATTCCCTATTGTCTGCAGCCGTCCTCACCACTTCCTGAAAGCACAATGACCTCCCAACCTTCTTCTGTTACAGTCCCCTGAGCCCCACTCCAGGTGAGGCCTGCTCTCCCTGTCTTTCATACCTCCACATCTTCAAAGCCATCCAAGGTAGCTGCAGCCCCACTGTCTCCAGGCAGTTTCCATTCAAACTATTAGAGAGAGAAACTGTAGCTGAAAGCCACCTGCAGGGGTCTTTTTAAAAACCCTACTTTATTTGGAGTATTTAGGTTTCTATCTCCCTTCCACCAATGCCCCAACCTTAAGTAAGAGAGAGAAAAGGTTAGTGGGTAGAGGAGGCCCAGACCCCTTTACTTCTTCCTGCTATTTAGGGTCAAGGGGTTCTTCTAAGGCTCAGTCTCTGTCAACTGCAGGTGCAGCTAGCAGTCTCCTCCAGGCAGCTGAGCCCTGAAGTGTTTCTCTCCATCTGTCTACTACAAACCGCCACACTGCCTCTGGTCTCTCCAAACTGCCCCACGCCACACAGAAGGCCACCCGGTCTCTTTCTTGGCCTCATATTTATACTCTCAGAGTCCTAGACCATACCCCCCTCTGTGCCACAAAGATCACGCCCCACATGTGACAATTAACATATGTGGACAGACTTTGGCCCAACTAAAATCCCCCACTTGGGATTAAAACAAAAGCGTATTTACATAGCATACAAAGAAACCAAAACTTCCATTACAAGAAACCTCTCTCTTTGCACCTGCCTCTTCTCTGCCGCAAACCGCAGAACAGAGATGGGATCAGCCATCTTATAAGTCTAGCCATATCCTGCCCACCCGGCAACACTTGAGGCCTGCCTTTTATTTTCCCTCCAGCCAACTGTAAGTCACTCAAGTAACTTCTAAACCTCTAGATCCACTCAGCCCTTGCCCTATAACCCTTGCCTTGCCTAGACCAGCACTTGGACACGCTTAAGAGATATCCTCGATCCAAACCCTCTTGAGTCTGATTCTCCTCAGCCCGGCGCTTTCAGCATGGCACGTTCACTCGCACAGCCAGGCTCAGAACAGCCTGCTTGCTGTGAGACCCTTTTTTGCCAATCCAAATCTATCCAAGGGTGGGATTCCTCCACTCTTCTGCACTCAGGCGTCTCCTACCTCTGGTATCCACTGTAATTCTGCTTCAGTCCTCTAGCCAAGCCTGCCCTCTGACCAGCACCCCGGTACATGGTACATTCTTTTCCTCCCCAGTTAGTCCTTGGTGGGGGCTGGCAAGGGCTCCGAGGTGGGTCTCTGTAAGGCTGAGGTGGGGAGTGGTGCTGATTGTGTGAAAGCAGCCGGGCATCTCTCTGAGTGCCTCTCCTCCCTCACTTCCCCCTTCCCCTTGTTGCGCACTTTTAAAAATCGATCAGAAACTCTAATGTAGGAAGAGGCCTCAGACTCAAGGCCAGGTCCAAAATGGGAAGGACGGCCCAACCCGAACGGATACCTAACCCCCTGGGGAGGACGGAAGAACACGGAGAGAAGCCGAGAGAAATAGGGGCACTCTTGAGACTCGACCTCTCTGCCCCCACCCTCCGCTATGAAGCGTGGAACCCCACGGTCTAGTTTCTTGTAAAAAAAAAAAACGTGACGTCCAGGAACAGCGGTTTGGCCACATCCCTGAGGACAATGATCAGATCTGGCTAGGGGAGAGAGGCCTGTTCTGCAGCCTGCGGCCTTAACGACAGCGAACCCCCAGCCCCCCGATGCTGCGGCGCCGCAGCAGCTGGCGTCCCGGTCTCCGCTCCCTCCTTCCTGCCCTGTGTCCATTGGCGGATTCCTCTTCGGCCCCGCCCAGCGACTGGCCTCTGGACTTGACGCATGCGCGGGAGCCCACCGCTGCCGCTGCTTCAGCACCGGAGCCCGGACAGCGGCGCCGCCCACGGGCATGGACGGTGGTAGCAGCCCCAGCTGCTGCAACGATCGTCTCGTTGCCAGTTTCTGAAGAGCGAGCAGAGGCCTGAGGGGAATACGTTTAGCCCCGGAAGGCGGCTGCCGGGACAGGTAGGAAGAAGCTCTCTGTAGATCCCGCTGGAAGATCGTCTCGGCTCGCCTGCATCAGGTATCCTTCATAGCCGCCGCCACGAATCACCCTCATTCATTCCCCAGCCCTTCTGAGAGCTCCCCCGCACCTCCCCCAGGAGCAAGTATGTTTGCACACCTTCATCTTGCCTGGTTAATTTATCCTCTCACCAACACTCAATAATGCTAGTTCTCATTGCTTTAACCTCCCGGGGGCCTGCCCCACCCACTCTTCTCCCTTTTCCCCTAAGGCTACAGATGTCCATTTCCTTGGCCTCTGGAGCTCCCCGGACTCCCCCTAGGCCTTGCCTTTGCGTCTTTGCAAAGGGCCTCACATCCGCAGCTACGTCAGTCCGCAAACGGGTGTGCATGTACAACGCGAAAGAGGGGCTGGCCAAAGCAGGTGTCCTGGGGAAGGAGGGCAGACATTCGGCGTCTACCTCCGGGACTGACTGTCTTTGTCCGTCACCATCAGTTGCTTGTCTGCCCTTTGCCATCGGTCGCTTGCCTGCCTAGCATATGGCTGTTTGTCTCCCCTGCATGGCCTCCTGCTTGTGTACATACTGGTTTCAGTCCCTGTGTGTGGTAAAAACTAGGCTGAAGCCACTTAAGTATGCAAGAACTGAGGCTTGGGCAGCGGTCTATATGAAACCTTGAAGGGGCCTCAGGAGGTGCAAGAGAAAAAGCACGTTCCTGCTGAGCACCCATTCCCAGATCTGAACGCCCTTCATTTTTCTGCCTTCATCAGACGGGTGGTGGAGCAGTCTGGCCAGGTGGCAACATGGCGCCATTTCTGTGTCCTCCTTGACTCTGCTGCCCCCAGTATCTCTCCTCAGACATGACACCACCTCTCTTTCCTGCCTGGACTGAAATGAAAGGCATTTTTAAGAGGCAAAAAGCAGATGCAGGCACATTATCTCCAGATTATCTGATTTTAAATGTGCATTCTGTTTCTCAGTTTGAGGAGAAGGCCCCACAGGTGGAGGTAAATGGGGTTTGTTTGTTTGTTTCCGCCTCTTTTATTAATTCATGAACCTTATTCAAGAAGATAAGACACAGTCTGGGTATATTCTGAAGACCAGAGACCCCAAAAAGGTGAGGATGAGGCTTGGGGGGGGGGGTGCAGCTCAGTGATAAAGCATTTTTCTAGCTTTGGCAAGGCCTTAGGTTCCTTCCCCAAATACTGCAGAAAAAAGGGGGGAGAAGGGGAGGGAACAATGACAAATCAGGGCAGGGCCCAGGGCCAGGAGCATCTGTACAAGGGGTTACAGCCTCATTGGCTGTCTGGCATATCTGGCCAAGGACCAGCCCTGTCTGGTCTCCTCATTTCTCCCAGGCCGGAGAACCACTTGTCCTCTTCCAGCGGTTCTCTGGAAACTCTGCCTCTCTCTGAAGTTCCCCAGAGACCGTGGATACTACACAGACATAACGACTTTGTTCAACTCAAGAGATAAAACACAAACATGCTCCTGTTGAATCAAGTACCTCCCTGGGGATGGATAGATAGATAGATAGATAGATAGATAGATAGATAAGAGCATACAACACTACACACACACACACACACACACACACACACACACACACACACACTGCAGTCCTTTACCCCTCAGTGCCAGAGATTAAAACCAGAGCCTTAGGTATACGAAGAATGCTTTTCTACCGCGTCTTCAT